CGAAGTGTCACTGGAAACCCCTATTACTAGCTGAAGTATGACAGGAAGCCCATCTCATCTGTTCGGCTATGACAGGAAAAGCAAACTCATACTAAATGATAGAGAATGAAAAGAGAACTCATTCTCTGTATTGGAACGAAAGAAGAAACCCTTCCTACGTGTTGGAGGATGACACGAAGCATCCTGAGTGTTGAAGCACGTCAAGAAAACCATCTTTCGTGATGCAATATGTTAGGAAACACATCCTGTATGTTGGAGGATAACACGAAGCATCCTGAGTGTTGAAGCATGTCAAAAAAACCATCTTTCGTGATGCAATATGTCAGGAAACCCATATTGTATGATGAAGCATGACTAAAAAAAAATCCTGTAATATGGAGAATGGCACGAAAACCACATAGTGTGATAGATTGTGAAAGGAACCCGTCCTGTGTGATGAAGTATGACCCAAAAATCACCTTGCGTGATGCGTGTTCAGTAAACAGTCTTAGTACCTGCTCTAACACTGTAAAGTGTTAGAGCAGGTTCAAACCCCACCCGTGGTATGGTTTGTTTGCAATCGTGTCATTACGATTTCGTGAGTCACTGTAAAGTGTCATACTGATACTTTACTAATTATTTTAATTATTACAAGGCGGTATAGATGTAAGGACGTAGTACCCAAGTACAAAGCATCAATCACGATCACTTACACAAACAACCTGATTAAATTTATATAAAAGAGAATTACGCAGCGGTTTATCATATTTACATAAACTTGAACAACAAGGTCTCCTGGTGATGTAGTTGGCAGCTTGTTAACACTGACAAAGAAAAAAATTATTGTAACACAATGGTCATACTTATCTGCAACTTCTAAGCTTCGCCCTTCAAGGAGAGGGAAGTGACTTAATGCTGCTGAAGAACTATTGAACCACGAATTGAAACTACGTTCCTTCTACTTATAAGTTTAGCGTTTATCCTGGAATATATAATCCAGTGTGTTATTATTACTGTAAAGGTTATATAGCGCCTGGGGAATGAGACACAGATTTGATTCGAATTAGGGGTTGCATCTTCTTAACCTACTTCTCATGGCCACCTAGCAATAAATAGGTACTCCGGGTACTTATCTATTGGTGTGAGTGGTATTCAGTGGAGTGCCAATGTACTAGTGCTCGAGTTAGGCTTTGAAATGAAATGGATTGGATAACGTCTTTTAAAGAGTACGCCACAATACCGTGGCTGTAAAAATTCACAGCTAACCCACAATTTGGAGAGAAACCATCAGAAATGGCTCTATATGATGCCAAGTTGTTCGAAGTTAAATTGGAAAAATATAAAGGAGATTTCAAAAGCCGCGGGTATTGCCAAAATTACTGCTTCTTATTTCACTTTGTTTATTTGGGTACCTGTTCAATAGGCTGTTCTAGCAAGGTGGCATGCTAGGTAGCAAAACCGTATATATCTCAAGAACATGTGGTGCTAGTTACCAATGTAAGTTTACTCACATAATTTATTTTCCTCTGTGAAATGAACTTTGTAAACAAAAGAGAAGAGTATTTTCAGTATGGATTTGTTAAGCTTTTTGACGGATGAAAAATGTTGGTCAAATAAAATCTTGTTCTGCATATTTTGTCTCGCTACTCATACCTGTCTTGCGTCTAGTGACTGAAAGATATACGATTGTGACTGCGAGCCATAGACTAGAAAACAAAGCAGGGAATTTTACTGGTTTTAGGACTGGCTTTTCATATTATCGAGTCCCACTGTGTCCGTGACGCTGATCGAGCCATTACCGACAGCAAGACGGATCAGAGACCGGGGGCAACTTTTAGTGTGGTAGTAGAATCCATTATCAGACACTTAGGCACAAATTTGTGTTGATCCTCCTATAGCACGGATAGCTAGCTAGCTACGACAATTAATGACATACCAACACTCTTCTATAATACTGTTGTACACTTCAGTGAGGCACTTAAAACTTCACTTACTGATCTATGTTGACTCACGAAATTGTAGTGACACGATTGCAAACAAACCACACCACGGGTGAGACTTGAACCCACTGTCAGAGTCGTCAAACGATTTCAAACCCCACCCGTGGTATGGCTTGACCTATGTTACTCTCGCGCATGTAATTATATTGCAACATGGAGTCTTGTGAAGAAATGTGTGGTAACCCTACCAAGGACCTGGGTTAAGATTAGTATATGGTAAAACGAGAGGAAATGTTATTAGGGATGGACAAAAAATATATAAAAAAAATGGTATGGGATAAAGAGAAAGAGGAAAACAAAAGTATAGTGGCACTTCCACTTCGATACCAAAGTGTGAATGCATATGTGTAACACAAAAGAGGCATATATGTCCCAACGCGCACACATAAATGCAAAGACACATCCATACACATATGAGCAGATGAAAATGCATGCTTGGTTTAGTGCAGTAACAGCATCGATTCTTTATACCAGTACACTTACGAGAGTATATATGGAGGTAAAGGTGAATGACATTATGA